TTTAGAGTATTTAGAGTATCATTTCATTAAAGAAATAATTTCATATTTCCATAGTAATAATAATAATAATAATAATAATAGAAATTATTAAAAGTATCACCCACCCAAAAATGGGAAAAAATTGTGTCATCATTTACTCACCCGCATGGTCAAAAAGAGCCAAATAAAACAAAATATTTCTTGCTGAAGCTACTTTTTGTAATGTTTGTTTGATGCTTTACACAACAATGACTTTAAATGATCTTTTGGGAGTAATTTCTCAGTGTGATGTGCGATTAATAATTAGATTAATTAATCGCCACATCATGTAATTAATTAGATTAATCGCTCACCAGCCCTAAAAAAAAAGTGTAAAAAAAAAACTTTAGCGATTTTTTTCATATTATTAAAATTTCTTCACACTAAGACACACTTAAAGGTCCTTTGGGGAACCCAAAATATTTATTTTATATTTTTGAGAGTGTGTGCTGATATTTTTCTTATTTAAAATAAGAAGTTGTGGTGGGACACATCAAAAAACTTGACCTTTAAAAAAATAAAATTGTCAGTAACCTTAAGCTTATCCTTAGGGCTCGTGAACTGAGAAACCAAAATTCCCTTGATCTTTTGACATACAAGAGGTTCAGAACTCAAAACTTTCTCGTTAGTCTAAAAACAGCTTATATTGAAGGCAGTTTTCCAAAATGTCAGCTTGTGGAATGTATCACTGTATGATGTAGTAGTGTCCACAGAAGAAGATCGACATCGTCTGTTTAGCCCCACCCACCGATTCGCACATGTAGTGTTTACGAGAGAGGCGAACGCGCAGGTCTACACAGAAACCAAACGATAAAGATGCTCCGAATACATCAAGACGCTGTTCAGTGCCAAGTTGTAGAAAAACTGTTTGCGTTGCCTTCCTTCTGATCCCAACATTAGGAAAGAGTGGTGAGTTGTGAACACAAAAGTGTAAGTAACTGTTTTTATTACGTGATCACTATTGCTTTGTCTGCTAAACAGATCATTTGATATGAGTATTTATGTGTTTTTAACCTAAATCACTGCAGCTTCCATCTGTGCAGGACTTGCTGTCAAATATAAACAACTATTAGCCAATCACAGCAGTGTTTACTTCCGAGTCTACAATCCTCCAAGCCTATTCAAACAGAGCGTTCTGATGAGGCAGGTTAAAAACAGGACAGAAAATTGCTTATTACTTATAAATTATGGTGTTTTTTTTATGTAAAAATCTTGATAACATTGTAAGGGGACCTCAGAGAACAGTACAAAATAAAAAAACAATGTCAGTTCATGACCCCTTTAAAATCTACTGTGACCCCTATAGGGGACAATTTGTCATGAGATGACCACGATCAATAAAGAACTTTTAAAGATGGGTTATCACTTATGATCTGCGGCTAAATGTTGAGGTTGATTGCTTCACATTCCTGTCTTACTGAATATGTGCTTAATGACAGATTTTAGGTTTGGGTTCCATCTAATGAGGGGTTTGGTTTGCTTGTGTCCCATTACTCTGGGTCTAGTATGTCGTGACCAAATATCTCAAATCTTACGGGAGTCATTCGAGGCACAGCGAAATCAAAATGACAGCAGTTAAAGTGACTTTGCATTGCCAGACCGGGCAAATGCTACCCATCCCGATCCCACACAGCTTTGTTTATAACATCCCGGTGGGAGAGGTGTAGCTTCCAGCTCATCCCTCTTAAGATACTTTTAGACCAGACATCATTCAGTGCTGTGTATCAGTGTGCTGGTCTTTGTGTGTCTGTGTATGGTGGTGGATTGGTGCTCTTGAATCAGTCTTGACTCTTATAATGGCTCCTACAGGCCCTAATTGCAGGTCTTGAATGTCATTTGATCTGTCTGAAAGCGTCCGCAGACCAAAATGGCTTTTTCTTTCCTAGTGCTCACGCTGCACTATGTTGTTGTCCCTTTCCAGGATAAAAGTATGCTTTAATTTGTTCTTAATCCTCATGGTGCTGATGTGGTCTTTCTCTCTCTCTCTCTGTTTGTCTCAGGTGTGACTCTGTTTGTTGCTCTCTATGATTATGAGGCCCGTACAGAAGACGACCTCAGTTTCAGGAAAGGCGAGAAGTTTCAAATCATCAACAGCACGTAAGTCTAAGACCTGAAACATAAAGCATGTCCAAAATGGAAAATTAGCTCACTGCTTATTCACTTTAAACTGAATAATGTCAAAGCCCCTTTAAGGCTATTCAGTTCACCCGGCAACCGTATTCCTAACACCCCCATACAGCTATTTTCAGCCGTGCAAGAACAGTTTCTATGTACTTGAATGGAGAAAAACAGAAGTCTGTTTAACTGTTTGAATAAATTATGTTTCAATTATATTTTTAGAGTCAAGACAACCTGATCTTTTGAGAAAATCTAACTATTTTACATGGTGACAATTTCATGGGAATTCGTACAATGTGATTTGTATAGAAAATGACTTTTTTTAACTGTAAGTTGGCATTTGTTTTTCCTAGCCATATTTTTCCCATTAATACATATATGAGTGGATCGTCTTTGCTTCGTACAGTCTGTACAAATAATAACAGTATGCTACATTGTTACATGACTGATCATAAAGTATGCAAATGGTGACCAGTTATCATGTTGCAAATAAATATTGGTACTGTAGATTAAATGGTGTCCAATCAAGTAATACGTTGTGATAGAGATGTTAAAGGAAGAAAGTGTAATATGCGCACATCCAAAAAGCTTTAGGCAGGTGCTCAATCACATGGAGTAGTTCACTGTCAATAAACAAAAATCGGCACTACTGCTCTCCAAAAAGAAGTTTATTAAAATCACAACGTTTCCACTAGGGCTGCACGATAAATCGAAATGGAATCGAGATCGCGATTCGACAGAAGCTGCGATTGTCATGCGTATCTTTCAGTGAAGCACGGTTCTGTGATCAGCAGTAAATCTCCATCCAAAGGCCAGAGGGCGCTCTCGCGTTGAAACTCCAAATACACCTCGCAGAAGAAACCCAGGAAATACCTATCGCTGCAGCTGAATAAACAGAAGATTTAACTGCTTTCATTGATTCAACGTGACTAATAAACACACGACTATGGCAATATATGGTTTATCTGAGTTCTTATTATAATTTTCATTAAAATAAAGTATATTTATAATGCAATGCCTTTATCACTGCTTAAATACTATGAAATATGTTGCGTGCCTTATTCTGTGTAAGAAGCCACACCATCTCACAGAAGGATTTATTTCAAACACTCGACTGACGTTATGAGTTTGGAGTAAAAATATGTTATTAAATGTGGTATTTTCACATGCTTTCAGATGGAGCAGCATTTACTTCACAGAGCCGTAGTTCACTGAGAAGCTATGCAAACAGCTGTCATTATCGTGAACGATTTCTTCGATTTCAGAATCGCGCAATAAAATCGTCTGCGATTTTTTTTGCGTAACTTGTCAGTGAACTACTATGTTGGGCATTTTGAACATGAGTGTGTATTGAATCCTGTGATCAATTATTTTTTACCTAACATATTTTTGTGGCGTTGATATATTGACAATATTTTTCTTATATGGTGTGGCTCGGAGAATGAATTACTTGACTTCCAACAATTTTTAAACAGTAGTAGCGAACATCTTAAATTCACCATGGATTATGATACTTGCCAAGTTAGTTTTCTTGACCTTACTCATAATAAAAGTTAATAATAACTTGGTGACTGATTTAAGGATAAAAATACAATTTTACATGGTCAGAGTTTTCATCCTACTCGTTTAAAGAAAAGTCTTCCGATTAGTCAGTTCAAGAGGATTCGCAGGATTTGCACGTATAACGAAATGTATGAAAAACAATGTAAGGATTAATGTCAGAGCTTTTATGAGAGAGGTTACGCAAATAATTGGATTGGAGAAGCTGCGGCACGATTCGAAAATATCGATCAGAAAGAATGCCTTTCTCGAACACATGTAAAATCGACCATTATTTATATATTGATTATTATTGTTGTTTTATTTTTATATTTTTCCTTTTCGCTTTCGTTCACTGGATGATTGGGTAATTTGTTTGATTAATTGTATCAGGTGTGATAGATCATGTTGATAAATTGTACTCTTCTGATCACTTGTTGTTTGCCTGACGAAGACCTTAGGGTGGAAACTAGGGCTGCACGATTAATCGAAACGTTGTGATTTTAATAAACTTATTTTTTGAGAGCAGTAATGGCAGTGTGCCGATTTTTGTTTATTGACAGAGATGTTAAAGGACACATGTTATGTATTGGATAATACAGCTTGGCTTTAATTTATATTAAATTAGTAATTTTAACAGTGCTTTTTGGCCCACATAAATAAGACTTAAGTAGAGTACAATGGGGCTAAAGGCGCCTTTGATATTATTTTCCTCTAAATCACTAGATGGCACAAAAACTTAGATAGCACTTTCCAAAACATTCACTTTTCAAGATGCACGTGTATATTTGTCTGATCCTTGACGCGATCGCACGCAGCAGCGCAAAGTTAATTCTGTGCGTACTTGATCTAATATTTTATGTTTTTTAAAATGTTGTAGATTTAAGTAGCAAATTAGAATCGCTAAAATTAATGCATATATTTAGAGACAAAAGTCTTCTTAACAATTTTCAGTTTTGTTTAAGATAATTAAAGCAACAGTTTTTAAATAACGAAAGAATATGTATTTGGGGTAAAAAAAAGCGCCCCTGCTGTTGGGGCTAAAAGGCACAGTAATTAACATGATAATTAATAGACAGCTGACTTTTCCATTTGTTGACATGACATGGTTAGATTCAGATGGTAAATATCATATATTATGTTGGGTGTCCATATTAGAGATATTCACCATGTTTAGAATGAAACCATCGTATTAAAAAAAGCATGATATTAATCATATCATATAATAAAATATTATTTGTTGTTACTACTGTAAATAGGCTATATATTCAATTATTATTGGATCTCCTTCAATGCTTTCAGAATCTTTACTTATTAAAACAATTTTGTTTCTGTATTTTAAAATATATTTTTTATATTAACATTTTAATGACTATATTTATTGAACTTTTTTTTTTTTCAAAATAAGCAGAAAACAGTACGAACTTTGCTAAAGTGATTGTTTTGAACAAGTATTAACTTAGACATTGTTTAAAAAAAAACATTATTTTAGCTGAAGTATTTTTATCAATACCGTGTGCCCCGTGTGTGGGGTAAAAGGCCCCTCTTGCCACCTCATACATTTATAAGATTTTTAAACAAAATAAACAACTTGAATGATTTATTTTCACACAAAATCTGTTGCTCCATTAATGTTCAATACAAACGTATATGTATATTTTCTGCAATTATACATTTTAGTCGCAGTGAATAGCACATTTTTTCTTACGGTGTGCCTTTAGCCCCGTTGTATTTATTAATTACTCCTATAGTATTTGAAATATGGTTAAAGTGTACTGCTGAGTGTCCAGATGAGCATTTATAGTAAACTAAAATATACTTGAGTGTCGTTTCTACTGAAACTTGTATTTCATGTATATAAATATTTTTGTAATTACACATTTGTAATGATGAAGTTGCAATTTAGTACATTTTAAATATATTAACTTAAAAAGTAAGCTCAAAAAACAGTACGGTTAAAATGATTAGCAAGTACTTTAATTTGACATTATTACAAAGTGCACTTTTTAAGTGTACTGCAGAGTAAAGATCAGTAGTGTAAGTGTACTCTATTTAAGTGGCCTTTTATTTCATTAATATTACATTATCTGCAAGTACAGATTTTTTTTAACGGAACTTAAGATTTGAAGTCCAATTAAAGTGCACTACTTTTTCACAAGGGTTGTGTAACTTGTTTATATGCAATTCACACTGATTCATACTTAAAATCTACACATAAAGCAGTTGTTATGAATTTGATCCAATTTTAATTTGACCTCCTTAACTTCTGAATCCTATACAGATTGTAAGTTATTAAGCTTGTATTCCATTTTGTGCATTGCCGGAGTGTTTAACAATAGATTGCCCTCTGCTGGTGGTGATGTAGTCTCCACTGCTCCATACAGCATGTCTTCTCAAGCTATGCTATTATTATAATATATGGAAATGATATTTTGTGTGAAGAGGACAGGCTATTTGAGAGAGGAAGAGATTGGTTAGTGGAGAGGGGTATTACATGAAGGGCATGTTAAAGAGAGAGTAGAGCGTTATCGAATAAATGGGACATTCACAGAAGTACAGATCAGCTGTAGGCAGATTGGTTTTCCACTCTGTGTGTGAAAGTGTGTGTTGTGGATGTGGTTGTATACGTGTGGTGAAAGGTTTGTAGGAGAGAGATGCGAGACAATGGCAATATGAAATTAAATGAAAATATTCAAGGAAGAGAAGAATAGTTTTCGCTTTCTTTCTTGTGGTGTTTCTGTTTATTGGTTCATCTAAACAAAGGAATGAAAGAAACTTTAGTGACACTGACCTTTTGTTTTTCTGTGTATGAAGAGGTAAAAGAGTGTATAGGGTGTGTTGTGTTTTACATTTTAGTGGGAACATACTGAAGATGGATGAACAAACATATAACATATAATAAACATTTAATGAATTGAGGTATTGGATGAACAGATGCATGGACAAGTCTACTAAGACTAAAAATTCTCAAGTTCTGTCATGACAATAAGAAAATGTGTTTTTTCTCTGTCTTTGTCTGTTTGTTTCAGTGAAGGTGATTGGTGGGACGCCCGTTCTCTCACTACAGGAGGAACCGGCTACATTCCCAGCAATTATGTCGCCCCTGTGGACTCAATCCAGGCTGAGGAGTAAGTGTTGGATTAGTTGTGTGTGTGTTAATCTGAACTAACTGCCTGTGGTAAGGGTGGGGGTAAAGTGATGTAATTCTAATCGCTGCTACTTTAACCCATAGACCTCTCAGCAGGATGCATGACAAACCTCGGCCCACTCTAAATGAATCCAGATACAGTTGCAGTACAGGGTGGTTCCTGACTGTTATTGCTAGGCAACATTTGTGTTGTTGTTTGGGACAAATTACAAAGACACTTCCAAAAAACTGACCCATGTATTACCATTGTATCAAACCATATCTGAAGATTCTTATTGAAATGATTGGATTTTGCCCTCGAAATTTTGAATGCATCCTGATTCTGTCGCTTTTGTGCCCAAATTAAATTGCAAACACAATTTTTTGAAGCAAGTTTTCCAGTCACTCCCCTATTTTGTTGTTTTGACAAACATGTAGTCCCGTCCATTGGCAGAGACCACCATTGGTTGGGATAAATGTTGACATGTCAGACTTTGAATCTTGAGACTTTCAAGTCTTGAAACAGACTTGAAAACTTTTCTTCAGGAACCTACAAATGAATTGGCAAGGAAACATTTTAACACACACACACACACGAAATAAAATAAATACCCTCACACAGCTTTAAGTTTGTTTCAATCGTAACAAATTTAAAACAGAGCAGGAACAATTTTGCCAAACATGAAACTTTTAATTATGGTGTTTCTCCTGTGATTTCCTAAGTTACACTGTGTATTAAAATGATGTCAGATTTTTTTCAGTTTCATTTTCAAGAGCCAGATTGATGTCAGCTGCTGGCTTTTAGTCTAACATGCGTAACTTTAACCAGAAGGAGATGTTTGAGTGATGAAAGTTTGCAGATGTTTTCTGCATTTTTCTGATGTTATTTGTAAGGCCCCTCAGATTGCATGTTAACATATACAGCTGTAAAAACTTTTCCCAGCCATCCCTTTTTTTGTGATTAAGTGTACATATTTTCCTAAATAAAAATTCCCTTCGTTGTAACGTTATGAATAACATTAATATGGCACATTTTCAGAAAGAATGCATTCAGCAGATCCAAACAGGCCTGGCTTAATGAACAGTATTATTAAGAAATGCAGACTTGGAAGACTGATAAAGGCCCTCTTCCTCTCTGTCTGTCTCTCAGCTGGTATTTTGGAAAGTTGGGCCGAAAGGATGCAGAAAGGCAGCTTCTTTCTACAGGGAACCCACGTGGCACCTACCTGATCCGTGAGAGCGAAACCACTAAAGGTAATAAAGAATACTTACTGTACCACACAAGTCAAGTCAAGTCACCTTTATTTATATAGCGCTTTTAACAATACAGATTGTGTCAAAGCAGCTTTACAGTATTAAATAGGAAAATAGTGTGTCAATAATGCAAAAGGACAATAGTAAACACTCATTTTTCAGTTAAAGGCAGTTCATCATTGAATTCAGTGATGTCATCGTCCAGCTCAGTTCAGTTTAAATAGTATCTGTGCAATCAAGTCGACGATATCGCTGGTAATTCAGTGTCCCCAACTAAGCAAGCCAGAGGCGACAGCGCCAAGGAACTAAAACTCCATCGGTCACAGAATAGAGAAAAAACCTTGGGAGAAACCAGGCTCAGTCAGGGGGCCAGTTCTCCTCTGGCCAGACGAAACCAGCAGTTCAATTCCAGGCTGCAGCAAAGTCAGATTGTGCAGAGGACTCAACTGGTTCCTGTGGTCTTGTCCACACAACACCATTACTGTACTTAAAGATGTGATTCATGAAGAGTTTAATTATTCCAATTCCGGTTATGATATTAATTTTTTCAAACTAAAGTAAACTAGTGTATGACTATAAAATTAGAATTTTGAGTGAATTATTCTTTTACCGATTTTGGTTTCTAAATGGTTCTGTTGTGTTGTGCTGTATGCTTTTAGTTCGCTAAGAAAAATTGGCATAAAAATGAAGAAATGGCTCATAAAATTCATTGGTTCTATAATCGGCAACACTTGTTGTGCTGTTTTGCTCTGTAAATTGAGTAACTGTGTTTCTGTGCCATCGTAGTGCAGGAAACTGCATTCAAAGTTTTTTTTTTTTACTGTATAGTGTGCAACAGGTGAGTTCTGCAAGTACAAAAACCATTAATTTTCTCCATAGGGGAGCTAAGTTTTTTTTAACAATAATTTGTAAAACATTAAATGAAAACCGAGGATGTTGCAAGGTTGTTAATCAATGGGCCCACATTATTTCAACTTATTTTTTAAATATTACTTTTTAAAAGCATAATTCCTAGTGGAAAAACTACATTACCAATGATTGTGCAAAGAAATCGCAAAAAATAGCCACACACTCCCAGGAAGCACTGCGAATAAGTAAATTGAGTTGGTTTCCCTTGACTATCAAACTAATAAACATAATGTATGATAAATATATACATAATCTACATCCTCAAATCAGTAGTTTTATATTTATCCATCATTTTTAATTCAATCATATCAAATTTGGCACTTATCAGGATTGTACTTCTTATTAAGCCGTTAGGTACAAAGTGTTTTACATTTGTCTTTTTGTTGGATTTTTACAACAGTTCTTCTAGAACCTAGTGGAACCAGTGAAAAACAATCTGTTCTCTGTTCTCACCCCTAACTGTGCTACACACAACACCATCTACTGCATTGCACAGCACTACAATACACTATTTACCACACTGCACTGTATTACTGCACTACAGACACACTTCTGTTTTGTGTCTGTGTGGCAGGTGCCTTCTCTTTGTCTATCCGGGACTGGGACGATGTGAAGGGGGACCACGTGAAACATTATAAAATCCGTAAACTGGACAGTGGAGGATATTACATCACCACTAGAGCTCAGTTTGAGACGCTTCAACAGCTGGTCCAGCATTACACGGGTAACACACATAGGCATGCTTCTCATTCCACAGAGCTCAGTATATCTCATTTCATAGTCTGACATGCAAAATGATTGTAAGTAATTATAGTTTTAACTTAGAGGCATGGTTATATATCCCATAATGCCATTCACAGTGCTTTTACAGCTCTCTACAGGAGGCGGCACTGCTCCAGTCATCTGAATAGCTCTCAATAGGATGTACTTTGCCTATGCTCCAGTTAACATATTGACTGCTAATGCATCTAGAATGAGTCGTATGGATTTTAGATAGCGTGTGCACTTTGCTTCTTCCTTGACTTCCCATACTGAGCCCAGAGAACAAACATACACACAGATACTTCTAATAATACATCCTCATGATGACCGTAACTGTGTATCAGCATCAGTTGCTGTGTTGATGCTACTCTAAAGTGTTTGCTTTGGCTTGACACTTTCTCATTGTTGACCTTCTTCGCTTTCAGAAGCAGAGCTTTGTGTTTGTCTCTGTAATGTTCCCTGTTACGGCAGTGCATTTAAAGGGGTGGTTGACTGGGTTTTTTCTAGGCTTGATTGTGTTTATGGGGTGCAGTCTAACATGTGTTCATGCTTCGTTTTTTAAAAACCGCATTATTTTTCACATAATTTACCTTTATTCCACACCGATCTGTCCCTTCTCTGAGAAACGCCTCGATTATTTCCTGTTTTTATGAAGCCCCTCATTACACACTAACTAATGTTAAAAAAGTGAAATCGCAATCAACCACCCCTTTAAAGAAGACTCTGCAGTCTGTTTCTTCATTTGCTTCGATAGCTTGGTTCCACCGCCCAGCCCTGTCCCCTGGTCTCTTGTCACGTTGTATTATTTGGCGCATCTGAATCGTAAATGTGAAAAAAAAGCATCAGCTCCTTACAACTGTAGCTAGGTAAGAACACGGGATGGGTGAAAATCAATTCAGAAATCCATCATTACTCTCTCTCATCCATTCTGTATGGATCCACAAAAAATGCATGATCATAATTTCAAATCAAAATTATTAATAATACTGTTTTGTTTTTTGAAAGGTCAAATGCAGGACAAAATATTACATGTGCTATGCAGTGTGTATCATCTGCAGAGGCATTTATAGCTTAAAAATGTGCACTTACAGTACAGGACACTACATACAAATATATTTGAAATAAAGTTTAAGGTCGCTCTAATGGGGCATTTAATTTATGCAAAAACTTCAGAGCCGCATTTGAGATCATTATAGGACTGTGACGAGTGGGGGCGGGGCCGAGAGCCGTGGGAACGGAGCGAGGCCGGTGGAGTAATTGATGATGAGCGACACCTGCACCACTCACCGGTCTCGAGTCCCACGGAGGAGCTCCAGAAGGATAAAAGGAGGAGTGACGACAGTGAAAGAGGAGAGAAGTCCAGGCCTGGTCCTGGTCCTCCTTTTATCCTTCCGGAGCTCCTCCGTGGGACTCAAGACATGTCACTAAAGAAATTGTAATTCATCATCCAAATGAATCAAGCGGTTTAGTCCAAGTCTTCTGAAATGAACTTATCCGATTCACATCAGATCTATTTCCACATAATGAATGAGGCCTGAAACCGATCTGAGACGATCAGAATCCATGTGCTTTTTGTGGGTCATATCTCTGCCACATGGGAGGAAAATTGGAATTGGGTCACTTGTGCCATGTACTGTAGTGTAAATGCGGCCTATGATGCACAAATTTAATTTAGGCTTTTATTAACATATAAACACTGATCTTTCGCATATACATGGATCATATAAAATATGGCAAACAAGCTCTCAAATATGCTTGCTTGATGTACAAGAACCAGTGAGGTTTGTTCTTACATGTCAGGTAAGTAATGCTTGGACTTTCAATGGCGTATCAGAAATTTAATTAAAAATATCTTTGTGTTTCAAAGATTAATGAAAAATGTATGGTTTCAGAATGACTAGAGTAAATGATGACAGAATTTCCATTTTTGGTTGAACTATCCCTTTAAGAAATCCATTATACTAAAATAGGCTAATTGCATGGTTACTTTAATACCAGTTTGGACCCATACTGCATTCTACATGAAACATAGCCCGGAAATCATTTTAAAATGGACTGGTGTGTGGTACTTTGTCATGTAGTCAAACTTTAAATCAGGAGTGCTCAGTCCTGTTCCTGGAGATCTACCTTCAGCTCCAACCCTGATCCAACACAACTGAACCAACTAATAATGATCTTCAGGAGCACTTGATAATTACAGACAGGTGTGTTTGATCAGGGTTGAAACTGATGTTGATATTGATGGCTGATGAGGCCAGATACATGCTCGGGTTCCTCAAGCTCAGAGCAGATGGTACTCAGTGACTGATTCCTGAAATGATGCATCTATTGGTGCCAAGTGTTCTGTTATCTCAGCTTTAAAGTCCGGAGTAAACATTGCTGTAGTGTTGTAGGAAAATGCCACACATGAACCCTTTGCTAAATGTCAAAATATGCCCATCAGGCACAGGGCCTCATTAAGACCGCACGGGGTCCCGGGGCTATGACTTACTGCAGGGCCCCCCATCACAATAATGATATATATATATAGTGTACAACGGAGCTAAAGACCCACCTTAAGAAAAAATTTATAATTGCAGAAAAAATATATACGTTGTATTGAACATTAATGGAGCAACAGATTTTGTGTGAAAATGAATAATTCAAGTTGTTTATTTTGTTTAAAAATTGTATAAATGTATGAGGTGGCAAGAGGGGCCTTTTACCCCACACACGGGGTAAAAGGCTCAC